CACCGTGCACTACTGGCTGAAGCGCTGCGTGCCCGCAGTCTCTGAAGCATTCTTCATCTACACAGATCGATCTGAAAACATGTTAGTTAAATTAATGGCCGGTTTCCCAGTTACATTTAACCATTCGTTAGTCTTTTTGTTTCCTACCGTAACTTGAGTTTCGCCCCGGTAATACTTGTCAACCTAACACTAACGAATCACTAGGTCACAAACTTTAAAAACCCAGCATTAATCTGTTAAGTGACATGATACTAATGTCTTATCTTGTCGGTGGACTCCTCTATGTCCTTAAATTCGTGATTTTTATAAACGATTTTATTAAAATTAATAACTTTATTACTATTTGATGATAAACATTTTGCAGTTTAAATCTTGAGACAGTAATGCAAAGCCCGAATGAGGACGACGTGGGTTCCAAAATGGTGTACGGTGCTCACTTCTTTTACGACGATACTCTAGACATTTACAATGAGAAAAAGCAAGAAAACATATTAAAGAAAATGTGGAAATTCTGCTTATCTTGTTGTCCTAAAAGGCGTTCAAAAAAGATAGATATGAAAGACGAAATTTCCTCACAAGGTTCATATACACAACCTCCGGTGAAGCGATTATTTTCCTTTGCAGAATTAGAACTAAGCAAGATCTCACCAAAAATGTATTATGATGCGAATGTTCAAACCGGAGAAAGTTTGGAAATAGATTATCTTGAAACGCAAAACCTTGTTGACAAACTGGTTTTAAATGCTAATAAAAACAAAAACAATAGAAAAGAAACAGATGAATTGAACATCTTAAAGTTTTTAAAGGAATCAAAATCCGAGTCAATACAATCTTTATCAGGTCGAGAAGATTGTAATGATGACAAAAATCTACATTTTAACCCCACAATACACGAGGAGAAAGAATTATCTAGCACTGTGTATGAACCTCATAGTTCTAAATCCCGTAAACACCAACATGTCAAAGTTGTTACTAGAGGTGATATTCATATCGAAAAGGTTGAACCATCGCTTCCAAAACGATTACGTTTCGATGAAGAAGCAACCACAATACCATCGATACACGCTGATGAAGGAATCTTAGAAGGGGAAGAACAAACCAGTAATACTCAAGTTATACTGGGCACTGAAAAGTTACGGTGTTCGGATGATATAGAGGAACAAGAAAGTGGGTCTGGCAGAGAATTTATGCGTTTCTGGACGAGTGCCAAAGAGAAGAAGTCGAAGAAGAAGAAGCGCATAGTATTGCATTAAAGTAACAGTTTGTATAATTATGATTACTTAAATATTGATATTAAAAAATTGTTTTTTTCAAAAATTTATTACTTTCGAATCCAGTGATGTCGAGAGGGGATCGGATGGCGATGCCTATGTTTAAGTTTATCAATTCTTTCACTGACAAATAATGAAAGTGACAATATTTTGCTTGTTAACAATTGTTCTTACAGTTGTAACTCTCATTCATACTAAGTATACTAGTTTTCACCCGCGACTCCGTCCGCGTGGAATTAAAATAAAAAACAAAAGTGAGAAGCCAATATGTTCTTCCAAACTATCCTCTACATCTTTACCAAATTACATCGACATACGTTCAGCCGTTAAGGCTACAAACTCTAACAATTCATCTAAACTTTCGCATTTATAATATTAGTATGATTGTTGTCTATACTAATATTATAAAGTGGAAAACTTTGTTTGTTTGAATGTAATGAATCGGCTCGAAAACTGCTGGGCCGATTTTAAATATCCTTTCACCGTTAAAAAGTTATCTGTGAGTGACATAGACTACATTTGTCTTTTTCTTTTTTATTTTTATCACGCGGACGGAGTCGCAGGCAAAAGCTAGTTGAGAATAAAACAGATGTCATTAACACGCGATGCCACATAGCCGAAGATGACAATGCTCAGTCGCAGTGAGCACCGCTATTTCCTAATTAACGTCAATTGAGCGCCGGATAGGACACGTGCCAAAATATGTGTCGTATCTTTTTCAAGATGTTCTCTCATTGTGTACCGTTCCAATCATGGTAATTGCCGCTTTCGACGTTTCCTGCTCGAGATGATACATGTGCAACACTTCGCTACAACGATTGTGTTTATGTTAAAAAAAGTTACGGACGTAAAAACTCAGCCTCTTTAATCACCCATTGTTGAAAAAGAAGTCTTTTTAATAACTAATACAAAACTTTATTTAAAGTTTAAAGGATGTCAAAAAAGATAGAGTTCATGATAATAGTAAAGTCCAACCATTGAAAATCTAAAATAATTTAGCGACCGTTGTAAATGTTATTTACAAGATCTATTAGAAATAGGTATATATCTACATATGTGGGAAGTTTTATTAGGGTCAAAAGTATATAATATATCATAACTAGCGCTTTTATGTCAGCTCCGAAAAAGATAGATGTAAAAGTGTGATGCTAGAAGCGGGAGCCGGTGCGCGAGGTCATTTCAATTGAAACCAATTAAAGCAATTGAGATCAATTGAGCGGGCGGCAGATTCTGCGTCGG